GTCAATAAACGCTGGCTGGCTTCCTGATGGAGCCGACTTTCTGGCCCATCAGGAAGCCAGGCGCTGTGTAATGAGTCGTTGCCCAGCTTCCTAATTGGTCGAAGCTGGGATTGGGAGGGTGACAAGGGAGCATGAAGCCGGCTTTCTAGCCAATCAGAAAGCTGGGGGGCGGGCAATGCGCCGTCGTTCTGTTTCCTGATTGGCTGGCTTCCCGACCAATCAGGAGGCTAGGTGGCGAGTCATTACACGCTGCCCGGCTAATCAGGAAGCCGGGCAGTGTGTAATGACTCACTGGTCGGCTTCCTGATACCGGAAGCTCAGGTATCGGGCTAGGCATCGGAGCTGGTACTCATCCAGATACTCGGCATCGGCACAGATACTAGTAGCAGTATCGGTGCATTCCTAGTTAGAACCTCTGTCAGCATTGCAGGTTGTGTCCCCATTAGAGAGGTTTCCGCTCACTTGCTGTCCTGCTGATATTTTGTCACACAAATGTAAATGGACTTTTTTAAAATAAGATTTTTTTTTTTTTTTTTACTTTTTATATAAAAAGTCCAGTTGAATTCTTACACCACTTTATAGTCCTGTACTCGACTACGTTCTAATCGGTGACTGATTTTGGATTAAAAAAAAAAAAACGATAAAAAACACTATTTTGCTCAGTGAAAATACTGCTTCCTGCCCTCCTCCTCCGGTGCTCTGTGCTGGCAGAGCTGAGTAGCAGGTCTGTCACAGATCTGTTACCGAGTGCTGATTACTGAGAGCACTGGGTCTAACTCTGGTACCCATTGGACTGCGCAGTCATTTTTAGACACCGTGCATAACTGCTGTAACACACCTGATTGGCTCCCAGTCCTGTCCATCACTCTCCCAGTCTGAGCTTTGCTATAAAGGAAATGCAAGAGACTGGCACCTTTCGATGGTCTAATGAACACAGAGCACTCATGTGTGTCTCTTATATCTAATGTTAGGTCTTTCAGCTGAGTTTTAAGCAGTAAAAAAAAAAACAAGCAGCTCACTGTACGGAATACAACCCCGAAAACTATAGTAATATCAGGCTGAATACAAAGTATAAGAATATTTTAAACAGTAGGGATGATATAACTTACAATTAATGATATTCAGTTCCGCGGATTGCTCCCGCACTAGCAAAATACAATGTTGGGTCAACTCGGCAATAAAATAACAGCTCGTTTCCTGGCAGATGGCAGAGTATTACCAGCTAAAAATCAGCTCATCAGCTCATCAGAACCTATTACGGATAACCAGTCGGTGCATTGTCGTTAATTTGCATCCTCCCAACTGATAACGCCGTTGGGTTTATTCAATAAAGAAGCACAAAGAGCACTAATGAAATGGAACGCCTGAGAGATCAGCTGTCAGTTTCCTGAAGTCAGATCGGTAGAAGGCGATTCCTAAATTGGTGATTGGTGCGGAAGGCTCCATTTTGAGCGTTACACGCTCTATTCATAATACATTTTCTGGCACAGGATGACGTTCTTTCATGCCTGAAGGCGAATGCGGCCATCTGATTCTAAGGGCCGGTAAGGTGCAATGTATTACATTTTCCGTGGAATGTTGTAGAATTGGGAGTACAAACTACATAATACTTTTTGTCACCTCCCATATCCCCTGACACCCCACCAGGGGCACCCCAAAGCTGGGTAACATGCTGCGGTGACGTCATCGCGCATGCACGGTCATCTTATTGACTCCTGCCGGCAGCCATCTTGGTGGTAGACGCTGACAAAGAGAGGAGGGGACGTTCCCCTCACCTCTCCTGACACTGTCGAGCTCTCGGGCTGCGACCGAGTGCCCAACTTTTCATAGGGGGTGACACCAAAATGACTGTCAAAATGACCCCCCGCGTGACGCCACTGCAACTCACCACCACCATCATCTTTCCCCTGAACTCCCGGATAAGCAAACATGGTCCTCATACAAGAGTCATGTGTATTCTTCTTGAATCTTGGTGAGCTTCGTGTATTTCTTCCAGATCTGTGCAGTAATCCAGTGTGAGACTTGGAGCTTCCTGTAATAAAGACCACTCACTGCTGCTTTCTCTTCTTGTACAGGGTAACTGGTCTCGTCTCTGCCCCCTCCTGTAATAAAGACCAGTCACTGCTGCTCTCTCTTCTTGTGCATGGTGACTGGTCTTGTCTCTGCCCCCTTTTGTAATAAAGACCGGTCACTGCTGCTCTCTCCTTGTGCAGGGTGACTGGTCTTGTCTCAGCCACCTTCTGTAATAAAGACCGCTCACTGCTGTTCTCTTCTTGTGCAGGGTGACTGGTCTTGTTTCTGCCTCCCTTTTAGCCATACAGGTGTGATGGTCAGACATCCAAAACACGTTTGGGCTATATGATATATTTTTAGTGATTTCATTTTCCAGCCTCTCCCAAAAAAAAAAAAATCAAGACAATAATTGGCGTCCTGGCCTTTTAAACGTACAACTACCTCTCTGGCAAGTACACAACTTACGTCAGATGTTACCAATAAAATCACGAGTGTTCGGCGGTTCCTTATCGTGTTAATTCCGCCAACAGCAGCAAGCGTTTACTAAGAACAGACGGCTATAGCGAATGCGGCAGAAGGCCCTGAATGTAATAACGTGTGAATGATGGCAGCTGGGTGCAGCACACTTACCAAGTAAGTGACAATCTTGCCGTCCATTACAGTAAAAGATCCGTTCAACAACAGAACGAGAGAGAGAGAGATTCACGCACGCAACTGCATAAAAGCTGCGAGCCTCAAACAAAATTATATTTCTCTGCAGAACTATTTGAAAGGGTCGATGAATAAAGGTCGTAATTTGGGCTATTACATTAATAGCTCCATTCCCCCAAAGGGGGGGCACAGGTTATAGATAAAATATATGTGGCACAGACATAACGAGGAATTAATCTACACACGTGATCTCTACGGTTCGCAAAATAATTAAAGCTAAATTCTATTTAATTAGGAAAATGCAATGTAATTAAATCTGAACTTTAAGATAATTGTGTTTTAAAAATGGTTGAAAGAAAAAAAAAAACGAGCTGGCCGGATAATGTAATTATCACAAATGATAAACAAATCACAACAAAAGTGGACAGATGTAAATTAGATTATATGCTAATATTGCCGAGGTCAACTCAGCCAGGAAGTGGTAGGCCACGTAACATGACAGAGCGGGGTCATCGCATGCTGAAGCGCACAGTGCGCAGAAGTCGCCAACTGTCTGCAGAGTCAATAGCTACAGACCTCCAAACTTCGTGTGGCCTTCAGATTGGCACAACAACAGTGCGTAGAGAGCTTCAGGAATGGGTTTCCATGGCCGAGCAGCTGCATCCAAGCCTTACATCACCAAGTGCAATGCAAAGCGTGGGATGCCGTGGTGTAAAGCACGCCGCCACTGGACTCTAGAGAAGTGGAGACGTGTTCTCTGGAGTGACCAATCACGCTTCTCTGTCTGGCAATCCGATGGACGTGTCTGGGTTTGGCGGTTGCCAGGAGAACGGTACTTGCCTGACTGCATTGTGCCAAGTGTAACGTTTGGTGGAGGGGCGATTATGGGGGCGGGGGTGTTTTTCAGGGGTTGGGCTTGGCCCCTTAGTTCTAGTGAAGGGACATCTTAAGGCATCAGCACACCAAGACATTTTGGACAGTTTCATGCTCCTAACTTTGTGGGAACAGTTTGGGGATGGCCCCTTCCTGTTCCAACATGACTGCACACCAGTGCACAAAGCAAAGTCCATAAAGACATGGATGGGGAATTTGGGGTGGAGGAACGTGACTGGCCGCACAGAGTCCTGACCTCACCCGATAGAACACCTCTGGGATGAATTAGAGCGGAGACTGCAAGCCCGGCCTTCTCCTCCAACATCAGTACCTGACCTCACAAATGGTCCAACATTCCCATAGACACACTCCTAAACCTTGTGGATGCCTTTCCAGAAGAGTTGAAGCTGTTATAGCGGCAAAGGGCGGAGCCAACTCAATGCTGAACCCTACGGACTAAGACTGGGATGCCAGTAAAGTTCATGTGCCTGTAAAGGCCGGTGTCCCAATACTTTTGGCAATATAGTGTATATATATCATATTGATATTATTCAGCATAAACATTATAATTACTATCATGGTTAAGATACTGAAATGTTTTATCCCTGCACAGCATTTCACATTTCATAGATACATTCCACAAATACTCTACTTTCATAGTAGGGTGCACTTGTTAAGACAGAGAGAAAGTTTGCTGGTTGAATTTCCTTGCAGATGGTTGAGGGTTATGTCAGTTCATGGTGGCAAGGTGCTTGGGATGAAGTTTTATTCAAGATATGAGGAATTTGGATGGAAAACAGCCAAGGACAGAGATAAATAAACAGACAACCAACCTATGTGTCCCATTTGGTTCTATGGTAAAATTAGCTATGTAAGGGTCTTGCATGTCCCTGTTATTTGAGCATAGACTGTTGCTTGTTCCCAGCCTTCTAAAAATTGGATTTTTGTACTCAAAGTAAAATCCTTTTCTCTGCGTTCACTGAAGGATCACTGGTCTAGATCTTCAGATAATCTCTATGTCCTTCAATCAACATAAGAGAAATGAAGATTCTGCCTGATCCGATCCTTTGCTATTCTACTTTACATTATTCTATAATTATATCCTGAAATTTGGCCTGTGTAAGGGTGACATAGCCTTTCTACACCCTGAACACAGTGGTAGGGTTGTCACCCTTGGCGCTTGGTCCCATGGTGGAATAGAAGAAGACGACGTCCCACTGTTACAAGCACAGACACGTCCGGCACCTTTAACGTCCTCCTCTGGACCACCCACCAATGCCTTGAGCTGTTTTGCTGACCGAGGCAGCTGATGATCCACCCTCCGGGATCCGTAGGCGGTCAGAACTGTGTCTGGAGGCGTGCTTTCAGGGCGCCGAGACCTGCCACAGTTACTGCCCCACCGACATGAACATCAAACTCCTACAGAATAATGTGACGGTGCAAAAATGAAATCAATGTCTTACCTGTTCTGGGTTCCACCGTGCTGTTCATCTTCTCATCCATGAATATGAATCTGCCGCCACCAAAATCTTGGGAGTAGTCAGACAGGTAGAGTAAGGAGGTGTAGTCAAAGGAGCCGTATGTGATCTGCAGAGAGAGGAGTATAAGCTGAATCATCAAATTCAAGCTAAAGAACAAATGGAGTCAAGTTCTGCAAGATACGAGTTCATCATTACCAGCACCCCCCCTTCTTGTCAGAGGACCTTCAGGTACACACGGATGTCTTGGAGCACACTGTAAACAATTTATTGCTGATCTCCAGGCACAGAAACATTTGTTTAAATGTATTCCTCAATAGCCGCAAATGATATAGATCCATTTTGTGTACATCAAATGCCTTTATTTATAGACCCGGTTATTACCTTGTAAAAGTAGCAGCAATGTCATCAATGTGCTGTACATTGCCTGTGCAGAGAGCAGAGCTGTGGGAGGGACCCCACAGGCCCCACTCACTACAGGATGCATGCAGAAACTACACAGGGGGCGGAGACAAGACTAGTCACCCTATACAAGGAGAGAGAACAGCAGTGACCGGTCTTTACTATACAGGTGAAACTCGAATAATTAGAATATCGTGCAAAAGTAATTGCAGTAAGTGCTGCAAAAGGGGCCCAAACCAAGTACTGAGTACATATGCATGCTTGTACTTTTCAGAGGTCCGATATTGTTCTATGTACAATCCTTGTTTTATTGATTGCATGTAATAATCTACTTTTTTGAGGTTGTGGATTTGGGGTTCTTGGGGTTTTCATGAGCTGTAAGCCATAATCATCACAATGATGACAAATCACGGCTTGAACTATCTTGCTTTGCATGTAATGAGTCTCTCTCATGTATCAGTTTCACCTTTTAAGTTGCATTAGTGAAATAAATGAACTTTGCACGATATTCTAATTATTCGAATTTCACCTGTAGATGGGGTGGAGACAAGACCAGTACCCTGTACAAGGAGAGAGAGCAGCAGTGACCGGTCTTTATTACAGGAGGGGCGGAGACAAGACCAGTCACCCTGCACAAGAAGAAAAAGCAGCAGTGACCGCTCTTTATCACAGGAGGGTGTGGAGACAAGACCAGCAGTGACCAGTCTTTATTACAGGAGGGGGCGGAGACAAGACCAGTCACCCTGCACAAGGAGAGAGCAGCAGTGACCGGTCTTTATTACAGGAAGTCTCACACTGGATTACTGCACAGATCTAGAAGAAATACGCAAAGCTCACCAAGATTCAGGAAGAATACACATGGCTCTTGTATTTAGATAATATACGCTTAACCTGGAGTTCAGCTTTAACAGCTTCCTATTATGACAAGGTAACAAAAACAAGTTATCTCCAAGAAGCTCCACACACCATGCAAGACACAAGCACTTCAGCCAACGTAGGAACCTTCTATCTAGCGGGTAACCGCAGCAATCAATGGCTAATTAGTTTCCCTGACTGCTAACGATGCATTCAGTGTGAATTATGGATGTTTGTAATGGAGACGAAAAGAAGAGACTCTACTTCATTATACATTATACTACTACATTATAAAGGAAAACGAGCAACAGGGAAATATTTGGTGATATTTCTGACAATGTTGTCCTGCAGAAATGCAAGCTGTGATCTGATTGGGTGTTAAAATGCCAAAAGGCTGAATTATGGAACGTGTAACAAATGTGACACGAATACTATTACTAACCCCGGTATTACCAATATAAAGCTGAACTCTGGAGAAATTATTTAAAAAAATACCCTTGCAGTGAGGCTCAAGGATTAAGGCCTTATTCACACTGTCGGCCGGTACAGCTCCATGCTAATGACTGTCAGAAATGTTTCCCTTGCTGAACTCAGGTGACAGGTTCATAAGATGGTCTACCAAAGTCAAGTGGGTCTATATCCGACACCAAAATGCATTGACAATTTCAGTGTCGGAGGGTTATAATTTGACCCAGCGATGTCTCCGCAGAGATACAATCTGTACAGCCATTTGACTGATGTACTGACAATAAGGGGTCTCAATCTGCAGCGGTGGACATGTAGCGTTCATATATAATTGTGTCTGCCCTCGCCTCCATCCCGGCTCTAAGGTCAGCCGCCATCGATCTTACAATCTTATGGTTCGTCAAACAGTGATTGCTGTGACAACTATTAGCTTTTCATTAGTGGCAGCTTTAAAAACAGCTCATTTTCTTTCAAGTGGGCAGCAACCTCATTGCTGGAGAGCGCGCCATCATAACAAAAGACATTTTAGAGGAGAACGTGATGAGGGATCGACCGTGATACCAGCGGGAGAAGCTGCAATGGAGGCAACATGAACGAATGATCAAATAGTTATAATCCTGGGAGAAGCTTTGCGTATGCTTTCTAGTGGATATTATTATTAGGAAACTCCAGTTTAAAGAGGGGTAGAGAGAACAAAGTCCCTCCAGCAGAGCAGAGTATTTCAGGAGAGGAGAGTTATAGAGGAAGGAGCAGAGTCCTCCAGCAGAGGAGAGTTATAGAGGAGAGTTATAGAAGAAGGAGCAGAGTCCTCCAGCAGAGCAGAGTATTTCAGGAGAGGAGAGTTATATAGGAGGAAGAAGCAGAGTCATCCAGCAGGGCAGAGTATTTCAGGAGAGGAGAATTATATAAAGAAGCAGAGTCCTCCAGCAGGGCAGAGTATTTCAGGAGAGGAGAGGTATAGAGGAAGGAGCAGAGTCCTCCAGCAGAGCAGAGTATTTGAGGAGAGGAGAGTTATAGAAGAAGGAGCAGAGACCTCCAGCAGAGCAGAGTATTTCAGGGGAGGAGAATTATATAAAGAAGCAGAGTCATCCAGCAGGGCAGAGTATTTCAGGAGAGGAGAGTTATAGAGGAAGGGGCAGAGTCCTCCAGCAGAGCAGAGTATTATAGGAGAGTTATAGAGGAAGGAGCATAGACCTCCAGCAGAGCAGAGTATTTAAGGAGAGGAGAGTTATAGAGGAAGGAGCAGAGTCCTCCAGCAGAGCAGAGTATTTCAGGAGAGGAGAGTTATATGGAGGAAGGAGCAGAGTCTTCCAGCAGAGCATGGAGGAAGGAGCAGAGTCTTCCAGCAGAGCAGAGTATTATAGGAGAGGAGAGTTATAGAGGAAGGAGCAGAGTCCTCCAGCAGAGCAGAGTATTTCAGGAGAGGAGAGTTATATGGAGGAAGGAGCAGAGTCTTCCAGCAGAGCAGAGTATTATAGGAGAGGAGAGTTATAGAAGAAGGAGCAGAGTCCTCCAGCAGAGTATTTCAGGAGATTTAGGTAGAGGAAGAGCACATGTTGTCACACCATACATGCACGGTGATGTGCAGAAAAGCTCAATCGACATGGCGTGAACAAGCCCTCTGAGAAAAGAGCCTCCGCCATTACAAAGTAGGCGCTATGTTTCTTCCGTCTCCCTGATACAAGTGTCAAATGGAGACATTTTGTGGTCAAAAGAGCAAAAATAATGGAGTACTGTGTAATATCTTGAAGGGATAACTGGATGGAACCCAAATCAAGCTTTCAGAGGTGCGGGCCCTTTGGTTAGGGGTCTTGAACCCGTAGGCGCCGAAGTCACCCACACGACTCAACCTGAAGGGCTATCATGTCACTTTGACATTACTGAAAGTTGTGTGGTCACAGAACATGCGAGCAATGTTCCAATGCCTTTTATATCGCTCTAGCATGAGATGAAGTGGATCCCGGAGTCAGGGAAATTGCAGCTTAACTAGATCCTTGGCTAATCATGAATCACGCTCTCCGATGAGATAACTGCTCATTTCAGACGTTCTCGCTGCAGTCCCCCGAGGACACATGCCTGCTTCTAGGACAGCAGGTCATCTAGGCTGGTGACAGGAAAGGCGAACGTCCTTCACACCTTCTCTTCTCTCTGCTGCCACCAAATGCCACTTGTCAAGCAGAGTGACAGCTGGACAGAGCAGTTCAGTACACGCACGCACCTCTTCCTCAAGACAAGATAGAGTGACAGTGCACAGGAATTGTTTTATTGACCCGTCCTAACCTTTTCTATCCAAGAGTCAGAAAGAGGCTCCGCATCTGTAGGGAAGGATTGGAGTTGTTGCTTTTATGACGCGGGAAATTATACAGTTTATTGGACTGCTGCAACCAAGCAGCTAAATATGCATAAAGACCACATATATAGAAACTATTTAGCTACAACATAACTGTAACGGAAGCGCAGTCTTTTGATTGTCCCATTCAAAGCACATTAGTCTGAGCGTGTCACTGCCCCACCTCCTGCCCTTTGGACTGCTATTGGGCAATACAACATGGGTGATACCCACTCTATTTAACCTTTGTTAAAGCGGACCTTTAGGCCTCATTCACATGAGAATCGGCCGGCACGTACAGCTCCGTGCTGCGTGCACGGCCGTATCGGGCAGCTCCCGGGAAGGACAGGGGCTGCGTGTGATTAGTACGCAGCCCCTGTCCTTCTCTATGGGAGTAAGCAGCCGTGCGCCGCCCTACGCTCACCCGCCCTGCTCGTCCGTACTCGTATGCTGACCTGATGGATCCTGTCTGTGTCCAAGTGGGACACCCACACCCGTAGGGACCTGCACTTGGGGTGAGCATAGGGTGGCGCACGGCACTGCAGCAATGATGTGCTCCTTGTGCTGCGTTTCCCTCCTTCATTCTGAGCTCCACTGCAATGGGACTGCAAGTGGCTGATACCAAGCTGAAGTCAGGTACTTACACTGCAGGTTTAAATAAAATGCATTCAATAAATAAAGTTGTGCCTTTTATATCTGCCTGGTGTTCTCTCCTCCTGTCCTTGTTCGCACGTGAGCTCTGCAGCACAGCACCTTTTGCTGCTGCTCCTTCACCCTGTTTGAGCTCTGCTGTACAGGGACTGCGAGAGGCGGATACCAAGTTGAATTCAGTTACTTACACTGCTTGTTAAAAAATGATGATGATGTATTATTGATTACGGGTCAGCATTAATTTCAGTCTTTTATATCTGCCTAGAGTTTGGCTTTAATTTGCAGCTTACTTGTTGAAATTCAATTAAAGGAGAACTATGGGGTTTAGTCTTTTCCCCATAGTTCTCCCTAGGGTAACGGGAGGACACAAACTAGCGTCCTCCCGTCACCCTAGGCTCAGTATACCC